AAAAAAAAAAAAAAAAAAAAAAAAAAAAAAAGAAAAGGAACGTTTCTACTAAATTTTGGAACAGAATAAGCAACAAGAAAAAAAAAGCAGAGAAAGCGGAAAAGCAACTTTCCTCTAATGTTTCAGATTAATGCAAAAGGTTCTTCTCGGCTAAATCTCATCATCCTTCCACTACTGTCTCACCCCTCTCTCTTCATTCATTTTCCATCCTTTGTTCCCGAAAACTTGCCAAACGTTAACCAACCTCTTAGTGCCCATTGAATAATTTGAGACCCAAATGTTATTTGGTGAATAAATTGGCAACATTCGGCATCACTGATGGATGTCCGATAAATCACATTCTTATAAAAAAGCAACAAAAAATTAAAACATACTGAATACGAGTAGTCTAAAAAATGGGGAAAAATGTTAATGTTCCACTTATCGTTATTTCACCACTATTGAACATTTCATACCTCGTATTTCCCCTGCTCCTCCCCTCCCCCCCCCTCCACCTTCTCTGCCGTTTCCATTGTTCTCTTCTCTGCCTTATCTCCGTAAGTTTTTTGTTTTTTTGAATTAAAACAGAAAAAGAAACACTGAGAACAAAAATAAAAAAAGCAAGAAGTAATTTGTTAAAAATGCGGGGGGAAAACATCCATATTATACTAACAATTCTTTAGTAAAATGCAAAACTAAAAGCAAAGTAATTTCAATTTACCTGAAAAAACAAAGCCAATTTGTTTGAACGAAAATAACGGTGATTAAAAAAAGATAATATTTGGGAAATATTATCTTTTTTTGGGTTTTTACTTTGAACAAATTGCATGCGAGCATCAATTACTTTTTTTTTTCGGTGACGAGGTTATAAAGTGAAAAAAGTGATCTGCTTGGTCATTTAGAACTCAAAAATCAAGAATAAACAAAACGATCGATCTACCTTTCTTGATCTGTGGAGTCGACGACAAATACCAATACACTGGCATGTCTCAAATAAGTTTTCCAAAGTGGTCTCAGTTTTTCTTGTCCGCCAATATCCCAAACTGTAAAATACTGACCTTTAGCTGCACCGTTTTTGATACGAAACTGAAACAAACAAAAACCGAACTAAAAACTGTAACTTTCAATAAATGCGTCATACTATATACGGTACATTGGAAAAAATCGAAATTATTAAAAGCAATTCAATCTAACAGTATTTGTTTCGTTTTTTCCTCCATCTTTATTTTTTATTTTAGATCTTCTCCTATTGAACTTTTATATGTTGAAAAGACGAAAGCTCCCAATAAAAGAAGAAGAAAAAAAAGAAAATATTAAATCTAAGATAAAAGCTGAAAAAATGTTTTATGTTTTTAAAATGAATAAAATCTTTCTCTCCTCTCCAATTTCTTTCACCTCTCTTCACGTCAGTCGTCTCCCTCTTCCCTTCCCCCATATGTATAAATAAATACGTATTGGTAGTGTTTATGGCATCCCTGCACATCAACAACATGTATAACATTTTCTATCCATGTCTACAACAGTGCTTTGCAAAAAAAAACAACTAGAATACAGAGGGATACAAAAGAAACTGAAGAAGAAAGGGATGGTGTTGATGACTGAAGAAATTGAGCGACTACAACAAATTTGAAATAATATAGACAAAAACTCCTTAAACAACGTATGACTATTTCTTTTTGAGAAGAATCATAAAAGAAAAGAATCGGAAAATATATTCCTGATAGGGCAGAGTTGCGGTAGGGGAAACGGAGGTGATGGAGAGGAAAAAAAAAGAGGGAAGCGAGGGGAGTGAGGATGGAGGGAGAGGATAAGCGATATAAAAAAAACTGGTTTTTTCTTTCAAAACTCTTGACATTATTGTAGGTTAATTATCGCTGAAATAGGTAACTTTTTTAAAGCAATACTGCAAAAATTAACCTTCTTAACTTAAAACTTGTTTAGCAGTTTCTCGAACTGTTAAACTTCATAAATGTAGTACTAGGCTTTGCAAAAGTTACCATATTTAGTAAACAAGATTAGTCCTCGCCAGTTATCTTCAGTCATTTCTTTCATCTATCAGTTAAGCATCTGTAAATTCTATTATTCAACTAGGCTATCTAGCAACTAAACAACTATATCATTTTTTAGTGATATGTTTCGTGAGGAAAAATGTTGTTTTTACATTTTTCGAAACGATTAGGTAAAAATTACTTATTTCAAACAAAGCGAGAAACAGTTACCCTTTAACGGGTTAAGCTGGAGTAACAGAAACCTGAAGGATAAATTTTCAAAACTTCAGAAAGTGGTGACCTTCCAGTTTATCTACGTTTATTTTTGGTTCATTTACTCTGCTGTTGTTTTGCCTTGCCTGCTTTTCCAAAGTGTTGAAATGAAGAAAACAGGTGAACCGGAAGACAAATGAAATAAATTTGCTGAAAACGTAGGGAAACGAAAATGAAGACAAAGATAACGAAAAGAAAGACCAAGAAAAAGAAGAAAAAAGGAAGAAGTGAATTTCCCTATGCCATCACCCAATGCTTAAATGCTTACCAATTGGTAGCGGATAAAATTTGGTAAAAAAAAAAGCCTATCCTATAGCTTCTCAATTAGTACACTGAAGTACAGCTACAACAGTAGTGTTGATTTTTTTCTCTCCATGTTGTTTGATCAACGAAAAATACAGGGATCTTTGTGGGGGTGGTGAATAATTTAAGCTTACTTTGTTAAATGTACTTATACTCATTCATTAACAGTAGATGGTCCATATTTTTTAAACAACTCTATTTTTTCAACTCTTCAGGATATCATCGTCTGCTTTTTGCTTGGAACAATATCATCTACAAAATTGCTGAACTGCTTATGCCATCTAACGGCATGACACCTCTGATATTGATTTTTGTGGGAATTTTGCTAATATTAAATCGTAAGACAGAAGATTGAAAAAAAGAAACATAGGACAAGGGTAAATTATCAATCCTGACAAAATCTCGTCTACAACTGTAAACCGATCGACTTCTTTCATTTACATTCTTCCTCCTCCCTTTCTTCATCTCTCCTTCTCCCCTTCATTAACATCGACAACAATTTCTTTCTATTTTTTTTCCGCTTCTTTTTCCCACTTATAATTCCACTTTCTTTTCCTCAGATTTTACCATAAGAATACTTACGACAAAAGGACAAAAACACTAAATATAAAAAAAATAGTAAGTTATAAAGAGATAATGTGTCATTAAAAAATAACGATTTTTTAGTGCAAAAAAAATTTAATGGGAAAAAGTGAAGAAAAGAAACCAATCTTTTAGCAGTTATAATAAACAATAGTTTGACTTTCATTTGAAAAGAATGGGAAGAAAAAAACTAAAATTTGGTGCTAAACTCTCTGATAGTTTAAATTAGAACTCTCATAACTGTCATTAATGAATCAGTCGTTTCCAACTACCCAACCATCCACACAGCCACCCAAAATTCAATGATCTGTCTACTTTTTCATTACTTTTCATACTTTTACTCCACCGTATTAAAAAGTCATTATCTATTATACACATTAAAATTTAACCGATATTATTCTGTCAAATCAAAACCTGTTAAACCAATACATAATTATAGCTGAAAAAGAAAATTAGATGGAGCGAAAAAAAGAATAATTTTGGTAGAGCTCTTGAAACAATGTTGATCATTACTCAAAGATCAATGGATACGGTAGAGTGAATATATTTTGGACCATAAAGTTTTGCTGCTATGAAAAATTGCACATCAGACTATAAAACAACTGTAGATAAATCTTACTTGATTTATGCCGATACCACGCTACCTTTTAAAATCACCTGTAGAACCCTTTTCTCTCCTCCCCTCATTCGCTTCACTCTCTGCCAATTTTGACTACAAGTTACTCCTTACAACTTAAACTACACAAGCAGTTAAAAAATTAAACAGTTCAAAAGGATAAAAAATTTGTCAGTCCACTGAAAAGTGTAAAGGTTGAAAGAAAAACCAACCTTTTCACAGTTAAACCCAATAGTCGGTGCTTGCTGTACAAAATGTTTCAATTTCAGCTGATAGACAATTGTTGATTTACCAGAATTATCAAGCCCGAGTACAATCACCTGATGTCGTCTACAGCGGAATATTGTTGTAGTCAAATTTCCCATTTACCATACAAACAATTCACCTAAAATATAGATAAAAAAAGTGACAAAAAATTAGCTGTAAAAAAAAATGGACACCACCAACAATCGACAACCACAAATTGCATATTGATAAAATTATTGTAAATCTATTGTGGTAATTAAGAGTAGAGCGTTACAAAGGACGATGAAGACAAGAAGATGCTGATTATACTGATGTGGTTATGATTATTATGATGACGACATCATATAAAAAAATACAAAAAATGTCGGTGACGGTGCTGGTGATGATTATGAAAACGATGATGATGATGATGATGATGATGATGATGATGATGATGAGAATATAGCTTAATAAGCTACAGCAAAGCTATTAGTAACTGGTGATATTGACACGATTACCCGCAGTAATAAACAATGACTTTCTAAACTTGTTTATTTACACTTTTTTTGTATTATACAAAACAAAAAAAAAAAAAACTAAAAAAAATTTGTGGTTGAGGAAAAGAAAATGACAAAAAAAAACGCATGTTTTTTGTTTGTACAAAAGAAAAAAAACCGTAGAAAAATTCCTGATGACAATGATATGAATGGTTGACGATTTCCTTGACAGCACCCCTTCTTCAGTATCAGTCATCAACTCTTTTCCACACCTCTTCCTTCCGTTCTTCTCGTTTCGTCTTTCGTTTTTTTCTTTCTCGTGGAATTTTTTGTCTTTTTTCCCCAAACACTAAGAGCAAATACTTTTAAAAGCTACAGATGTGCGTATATTTATATATCGACAACACTAACAACACCACTATCACCATGCCATTCTTCCATTCCATCACCACCAACATCATTATCGTCACTGTTATTGTCATCATCATCATAGCCGTCACTGCCACCCATACAAATTCTTACACCTGTATACACAAAAATACGTAAGCACAAACACTTCTTCTAATGATATGTTCCATCATATTTATTCTTCTTCTTCAATAGATAGATATATTTTCTCTTCACTTCTATCTGCTCCGCTTACATTCTACTTGTCGTTGGATGTTTTTGTAGGCATACCAGTTAAAAATACAATGATTTTTGGTATCTTTTCCTTGGCTCATTACTACTTATTGTTAAACTGTGTATTCCAATGCACTTATTGGTATCTTTCCATATATGCGTCGATATGTTGCCCAGACACTTGTAAAAAAAAATATGGCTATATTTATGCATGCTGTGTGTACCGCATTAACGCAAATAAGTTCGGTTGATTGATTAACAACCTTATTTATCACTATCACCTCTTCAAAACAATGTCACTGATATATGACGGCAGGTAAACATTTCTGCACACTAAGTGATTTCCCATTTTAAACAGCTAATTATTTTGACTTTTAAACAATCTTATTCCGTCTCTTCGCTTTCCCTTTTGCTCAATAATTTTCTTCAAAAGAAAAGCAGTAGTTAATGAAAAAAACGGTAAAAGAACCACCGAAAAAAAAAAAAAAAGAAAAAAAGGAGCATAGGTTCCCAAAAATTCTATTCATGGTCATTACCACTGTGAATATATTAAAATTAAAACTGAGATAAAAAACTGAAAATGACGATGAAAGGAGACTGAAAAGAGACAGAACAAAAAAAAAAACGCCATTTCAACTGATATCTACTCACGTAAATACTTTCATAACCGGGAAATTTGTCCAATTATTCAAATCAATCAGTGTTCCGCTATTTGGGAGTGGGGAAGGGGAGAGAGGCAAGGAGAATCTACTTGTTCCCCTTAAATACTAATATTCCATCATTCAAGGCTTTCCATCGTACCCTATCCTACTCATTCATTTCAAATAACACTTCAACATCAAGTTAAAATAATCATGCAGAAAAAAAACAATATATATACATTAACAAAAAAAAAAAAAAGGACACCAAACAACCACAAAACCAGTCCGCCGATACTGTATGTTGCTTCGCAAACTTTCTTCTTTCAGAAGTAGCGAACTTTTGTCACACTGAAACTTTGCTTAGCCTACCGCTGATTCTGTTAGCAAAATACGCCACAATAAAACACTGTTGGGAGCACGAAGATTTACGGATTGGCAATAACAAGCCGTACAAACCAGACCGCATGCATTCCTCCTAACGGTAGTAGCACGATGAAATGACGACAATGGATTGTGCTCAGCGGTTTTGACTTTGCTTCATCCTCCGTTTGACCCGATCAAATTGATAACTTCAGTAACCACATTATTTTTTCGGTCTCGTTTTTTCTTTCTTCCGTTCTACTCCTCTTCAACCTCCTCTTTGCAATT